GATTTTTGTAGTCACTGGGTATAGGTGCCAGTTTAATCACAGCAACTCAGAATTTTCTAGGCTAACGTACAACAGACAGATGAAACCAAATTAGGGATGCGAGGTGCTAACAAAAATTACAGTTCTGTGGCACGTTTAGATTACTTGTGGTCCCTTTTCCCAGAAACAGCCTTCAGTAGTCTGCACAAGAAAAAAATCAGATGTCTCATGCAAATACACGACATTAATGGCAGGAGAACAGTCTTCTGTCCCTGCATCTAGTTTCTATCACCAAGAAGTCATTTCGGTGTCAAAGCTTACAAAAGTCCCTGAAAAACAAACTATGTACAAAAGAGGATGAAGAAAAATTATAATGATGAAATTCACATCCTCAATGAAAATAGCTACAGCTACGCTGGAAAAACAAAAACAAAACAAAAACAAACAAAAAAAAAAAAAACAGAAAGGAGACAAATAATATTCATTTTGACATTTTAGCTTCATGAAGAATTTTGTAGTTTTGATATTGATTCTCTTTGAAATAACTAAAATTATTTTGAAGGATAGTGGCTTTTTTCTTCCACAGAGAAATATCTTTCATGATTAACTCTATTCCCAAAACAAGTGATTTTTCAAACATTCTGATGACTTTCTCAAAGATACAGAAAGACTGCATTTCAAACACATTCTGAAAAATTCAGAAATACTTTGTTGGATTATCAACTTCCTTAGTCTAAGGTTTAATTGCATTCTGACCTTCTTTAACTCATTATATTTTAAAATGGAAGTCCTTTTCAAGGACGGAGCAGTGAGCTTTTATAATTCATAGCTCAGTATGAAATTGTGCAAAAGAATATATTACTACATTTGTTTAAAGAAAATTGTGACATATATAAGTTAAAAGAGAACTTGTGGATCCTAAAGAAGTAGTCAGAAGACTTATGAGATAAACATTCCAGCACATTCTTCGTTTAAAAAAAATACTTTCTACTACCATCTAATTCTAAATTAACAGCGATTTATATTCTGAACCTTTATATTTGATCCACATCAGAGACACATTTTCAAACCATGCAATTATTATCCACTCTTTGTTACTGGACAAAATCAAATGCTTCAAATTAGGAAAGAATCTTGAACATTAGTTGAGTTGTTCAACCTAAGAAGTTTGTATACAGCTCTCAAAAGTTATTGCTTTATCCAAAAGTATGAGTACTATGTATTTGCATCAATTGTAAGATACTACAGATGTATGTAATGACCACATTGGGATCATGAAATCAAAGAATTTAAATTAGATGTTCAAACATTTTACTGAGTTTGTGTGAATTTAGCAAAGAAATTCACTGACTGCCAGTAGACTTCCTGAGTGAGATGAATGTCTTGATTCATTTTCTATAAATTCTTTTATTTAAATTGTATTAAAAATCAGAAAATATACTGGTGAATTACGAGATGGTGAATTTTCCCCAACATAATTCATAAAACATTCTTCATATTCACCTTTTGATAAAGATGAAAAGACAATTTTTCTCCATTTCTGAAAATGAAGATTAAGAACACCAAAACAGTCATGTCTTCTTATGGAAATATACTCAGTGACAGCTTTTAACAACAGACCATTTAAATTCAAAATTATTAGAATGTTTAAAATTCTTTTTCTTTCTTTCTCGAGGTGATATTCCTTAAAGACAGATTTAATTTCCTGAATTTGTTATCATGATTTACTAAGATTACGTTGTAATCATATTTTATCCATTCATCTTTTTCCTTCAATTGAGTCAAAACAGGCTTATTTGGACTTGTAATAATAATAAAAGAGCTGAATGTAGAAATTATGTAGTGTAATTTGGCAACTTATCAGCCAGGATGCCACTATGAATTTCTAAGCCTGAACACTTAGGTTGAAAAGTCACATGGAAACCAGATCTTGCTACAATAACCTTGTAACTTGAATCTAATTTGCTTTGGTTCTTATTTTAAGAAAAGGATCTTATGTAAACACTGTGATTGCAGGCAAAGTTTAATCTCGTCAAAATTTATGATTAATTTGCAGTAAAAATGCTTCTTTCTAACTTTTGTCCATTTTGGAAATAAGAATTATTATTTCAGAATCAGAGAATCAACACATGTAGGTATTCTCAAATAGTTTAGAACTTAAAATTTATATCTTGTTCTCCCAAAAAATGACTCTTCTACAGAGTTACAATATAGCAAATATTGAAGAGTTTTCAAAAATTTATATAATGATAATTATGGTCATTTTATTTTGTTTCAGTAACTACCAAAAGCCAATCAAAAAAACCCAAACCACTGCATGTAATTAAGGAAGGAAAAAAATCCTGTAGTATTTTCCTTTGTCAGAATAAATCATGTTTCTGAGACTCTCTTGCATTTTTTCTCATGCACCACTGGATATCCAAGCTAACAAGAGTCAAATGAACCATGATATAAATAGCATATAAATAAAGAAAAAAAAAAACAACCCACAACAAAAAAACCCACATCAGAATAAAACAATAATACCATGCTGTGATTTCAGGATTAAAATAACAGTTACCATTTCTTTCTTTTATCCTTTCCCTAGAACAATTTAACTCACAAATATAGTTTAGACAAGATATTTTAAAGCATTGTCCTAGACAAATTAGTAAAATGCTTTTTTTTCCTTTATGAATTTAAGCAGTATAGAGTAAAATATATTTCTAAAATGATTTAATGAATTTTACAAATAAATATGACGAATGAGAGAAAATGAGCCATTAGATGTATGTTAGCTATTTTGATTATTTTCATATCCTGAAAAGCAAGTAAAAAAATACAGACATTTACTCTATCTGCATCTTAAAATAGTAACTAATGATGAACAATATTCTCAGCCCCTAGCAGAAGCATGCAGGACTTCAGAAGCTATGCAACCTAAAGTTTGAGCTAGAAAACTCCCATTTGCCTTCTACATCTTCTTAAGATGCACAATAATCAATGATGGTTGTGTGCCAAATTAAACAACAGCCTCAAGTAATTCTACTTTCTCAGTATTGTTTTCTTGAGTGCCTGCCACAAAACTCAGTCTAGATTGATCCATGAATAAATCAAGTGGATTGGAATAAGGGAAATAAGTTTGGGTCCTGCCATGTTGATAATAAAAGAATGGAACAGTGCACTACTACACTGTCTTCTTGGATGTATACTGAAGGAGTGATAATGTGTTTTGACAGAGAGGATGAACAGCAATACCAAAGGTAACTGTTTCATGACATAAGAGTCCTAGGTCTCACTAGCTACATGGCAGTGTATTACTATGGTAGGTGTGTATTAGGAAGAAACTGGAGTGATAAGATGACAAACTGCAATAAGAAAAAAATTCTGCTGGGTTGTCCACCAGAGATTCTATATTGTGGTTGTCTTAAGGCAGTAAGTATATCTTCAAACAATTCAAACTGTCAGATACAGGGAACAAACAGTTATTTTAGATGTTCGGCTTTAGTTTGAAGGCTCATAGAAAGTTAGTTAGCAAGAAGTCAATTAAGTAGCCAGTAGCATCATCAAGTGGAATGTTAATCCTTATAATGGAAGTATGTACACCAACTAGCAGTTAAAATTAGGTTAAATGTATCTCTCCATCCAATTTTGAGAAATTAGAAATTATAATGTCTCATGAAAAAAAAACACAACTGAATTCTACAGATTATTGCATATGTTTGCAAATAATCATTGACTGTTACTGGGTGACGAAAGATTGAAATGCAAACTTAAACTGTAAACCTGTGAATTTTAATCCAGAAAAGTCATGATTACAATTGTCTAAAGAATCGTTGCAATGGAATCTCATTCTGACTAGGGATTAGTTGCAAGAACTATTAATGGATCCTTATGCTAATTTAGCATTGTTACTGCTAACAGTACTTTCTCACAGTACAAATGCCTATTCTATACTTAAATACACAGAAAAAGCTTTCTTAAATCATAGTTACTAACAAATTATACAGTGTCACTACAGCATAGGTCAAATCCTGTTGACGTCAATTATGAGATTGCAAAATTTCTCCCATTTTGTTGAATTAACAAAGCTATACAGGTAAATTCTATATCATTTTCTCTACATTAAAAACTTTAAATATTCTATAAATCTGTTTTATTATTTTCATGTGTACCATGTTATTTTCCGTAACTAACATTGCTTTCAGTGAAATCTTATTCTAGTACAATAAACAACACAAAAAAGAATAATTCATGATAACAAAAATAATTAAATAGTAGGAGCAGGTTAAAGATCAGCATTCATTTTTAAAATTAAATTTAAAAGTCTGCAGTGGTTACTTAGAAGATTGGCAAGTTTTACAAATAACATCACCAAGCCTTTTAGAGAGAAACACAGCCGCATTAGAATGGAGTCATTAGGCAATACATTTATTTTGAAGCCAATTAACCTTTTGTCAGAGAAATGTCGTAGCTGTAATGGTTTCAGCAGTGGAGGTCAGCCTCTAACAGGGGCACGTATGACAGCGATTACGCTGTCTGACATATGCTGTAGACTGAGAGTACAGCTGTGGAATGAGAATCTGCCTTCGTTTGTATTCTGCTCTGCATTTTCAGGGAGCAGGCAATCTTGACCTATCCATTTAGGTAATTAAAGCTTCTATTTGGAAGTGTCCTGCAGGAAGGTGAAATTTGGGGTAGATAAATGGCTGCTGCTCAACGAAACCAACCACTTCCATCATTTGATGGACTGCCTGAAATAGGCTGCATTGCCAGGTCCTCATAAAAAGAGAGATGAATTGGGAAGGAGGCAATTCTCTAAGGCAAAGCAACTCTGTCATCTTGCTTTTTGCAGCCTATAATTTAATTGTTAGCCAAGGTAGACAGCTGAATCAAGAGCCTTTTTTTAACAGCTTCCCCACCACTTTCCATTTTCTAAGAAATTACTTTGGTTTGTTTACTTCCCAGACAACTTTTTTTTGACAATTAGAGATGTCACCTCAACAAGCTCAGGTGGCTATCAAAGGCATGTTATGACTTACCTTCCATGCTATTCTGTTCCCTTTCGTATCATGCTCAACAGCAATGGGGAAGTCTCCTCGTTCATAAAACTTGCGAAATGCTGTGGGCTTTGTTGGTCTCTCTTTAAATGCTCCTGCAAGTGGGGGCCCCCGCACCTTAAAACAGAGAGAAACAAATTCTACTATAATTCCATGAAAATGGAATGAAATATATTCAGGAAAAGCTTATATGACTGAACACAGAAAGAAATAAAAAACCTCACAGATCTCCCAAACTAGCTTGCAATTGTCTCTACAAGTTTCACTATCTGTTCCTTTTTGTTTGTTTACCAATATTTCATTCTACCCCATAAAAACTTTGTATTTCTTTGTGGCCACCTCAGTTCCTGCAGCATTTTTAAGACAAAACCATCAAAAATACATTTACATAATAAAGTGCAAGTTCTTGTAAAATCAAGCATTTGTCCTTGAGAAATCTTCTTTGAATTGTTTCTTCATAGAAGTCATTTGGCTTGGTTTCTATCTAATACAGCTGTCTTGTCTTACCATTGTCTTTCTTTGACCTACTTCACTAGATCCTTTCCTCAGTTCTTCTGCATATGGCTTTTGTATGATTTCCAGCCCCTCAGTATTGGCCTTTCAGTATCTAAAGGGGAGCTACAGGAAATAGAGACAGACTCTTTATCAGGGTCTGTGGTGATAGCACAAGTGAAAATGGTTTCAAGGTCAGAGGGGAGATTTAGGTTAGATATAAGGAAAAAATCTTTTACAGTGAGGATGGTGAGGCACTGGATCAAGTTACCTAGTGTTGTGGTTGATGCCTTGTCCCTGGGGATTTCAGGGACTTGATCTGTGTGTTTCCCTGTTCATTGCAGAGGAGCTGGACTAGGTGGCCTTCAGAGGTCATTTTCAACTCTAAGGATTCTAGGATTCTATGATCAATGGTTGAAGCTTAGAAGAAGTGGAAGAGTCTACTCCCAAATCACTCCACTCTGCCTTTGAAATCACTCCACTCTGCCTTTGTTGCTTTAGAAGAATATCTGATTCAGCTCCACTTGGTTCCTTAGCTATGTCTAGTCAGTGTGTCATGTAGCCTGAGTACTTGAATGATAGGCCAATTCTAAAATGTTCACAAAGGAACTTTTTTCTCAGACAAACTTAGTAGTAACAGTAACTGAAATCCAGCACAAAGATAACAGAATTTCAAATACTTAGAAGAAATCTACTGTTTAAACTAATTAACAAAGCTAATCTCAAATGCTAGAAGAAACTAAGAGAGTTAAAGTAATCTCAAATGCCCTTGACAATTACTCCCTGAGAAATTCTTGTTCGTATATTTTTTTTTAAATATATTTTATAGCAATGTCTGAGATAAAGACTGCATACAATTCTCTCCGTATCTCTTTCTTCAAAAATGCCACTGTGACTTGGTGCCTTTTATAATATAAAAAGCGTCATTTTCAAAAAAAGGCAAGAGCTTCAAGGATCATAACTCATATCCAGCATATTGTATTGTTCTAATTGTCTCATTATATGTTTCTCCATCTTCAGTGACCTTGATGTTAGTTTCTAGCAGTACAGTCAGTGTTTCAGTGAATAGAACACAAGCATGTAACATTCTTTGCTTCACTTGCGTTATTCTGTAATTTAACCGTGGCAACCAAGATCAAAACTTGACCTTGCAATTTTTTTCTTTCAACATATTTTACCATTTTTTACTACTCAGAAGACTGACACAGTGTGATCGACCAGTGATATGCATATACTGTACTTTAGTGCAAACTGTTTAAACTAGGGCTTCTAAACTGTGACAGACTGCTGCATAGCGCTATCACCGATAGACCATGCCTAGTGAAAATAGATCTTACATGCATACTGTAATACGGCTTAGTAAACACACCTGCAACAGTAGAGCATAACACTCTGAGAAAAGCACTTCAAACTGATGTGAACAAATCTACCCTTGTTGTTCTGTAGAGGCACAATTTGTACCGTGCCATCAGGATAGGTGCTTTCACTTTTCTTTAGATTTTTTTAATGCTCCTTCCATGTATTTTTCAATATTGGTGTGATCTTCACACGTTCTTTAAGACATGTGTTTCCATAAAGTATTAGGAGTCCTTGTTCTAATTAAAATTTAACTTATGTTATTGATAAAGAACACATTGTCTTGCTTACATGAGCTATAATCTTAATTATTTTTGGCAGACTGTCATCATTATAGGTAGAAAAAGCAAGCCCAAACTACATCTTCTCTGAAGACAAAAATTATTCTTCCTAATTAATTTTAGTAGTTTTAGTATGAACTTTTATCTACTGCACTTCTGCAAATTTTCTGGTTCAATTTCTTCATATTCTTCATTTGGAAACAAAGAAACTAGAGGAATAAAAAGATCTTGGTCATCAAATATTACATATTATATATTTATATATATATTTATACATAATATAAATATATCCTTTATTATTCCTCTAATATTTCTGACCTATAAAATGCGTTTAAAAAATTGTCAAGACATTTTTACTGCTGAAATGCTATTATTTGTTATCCTTATTTCAATAGTTAGAAATCACATTTTAAGTAGTATGCCTACTCTGATCTGCCAACTGAAAAAAGCCAAACCAAACAAACAAAAATATATGGTACGTTTAAAAGAGTTTCAGAGAAGAACAATGACTGAAGTTACAGAATGACTTTTACATAAATATAATGTCAGGAAAATGATTACTAAGGAGAAATAAAAGCAAATCACTGCTTCACAGAGAGAATGAATAGGGACTGATTTTCCATTGTTTCCCTCACTAGAAGTACAGAACATGAAAACAAGCCATTAAGTGAAAAATTTGGAACAAAGAAAACCGATTATGTATTCATGCAGCAACTCATGGATTTATGGAACTCCTTGCACGAATTCAGTGGTGAGACTTCTTGAAGTTTCTGTGCGTTCAAGATGTAACTGGAAAAGCTGATAAAAAAGAAATATATTCAAGCTTACCAAATCCACAGCATCAGTGATGAGAAACACAGTTGGTAGTACCTTTTCACACAACACAAATAGCTTTTCTGGTACACCTCCTAGCATTATACTTAGTCTCTCACAGTCACAATAGGCTGGCAACTCATAGTTACCCTTTGATTAACAACAGCAACCATCTTTCACTGTAGATGAGCACTATGTTAATAACATAATTTATTATCATTACTTTTAAGTGCATTACCCTGTATTTTATACTATTATATTTAATTCTGTTTCTGCCACACCAGTTCTGAAAGGTTTCTACTTCCATCTTTGTGACACTCTAACCTTAATCTATTTTAATAACTACTCCAAGCATAGAATCAACTGTAGATTTCATTATATAATCCTATTTTTTTTTTTTTAGATCGCTTATGAAAATATTCAATTAGGTTTGCTTGAGGAAAAATAAAGGCATATAATTTACTTTTTTTTAATTCCCAATTTATCTGCATTTATTTCATATATTTATTTTTATTTATAGAATCTGGAGATGAGACTTCCTTTTCTTCTCTATTTGTAGATAATCACAGTACAGACATTTTGATCATGAATTTGGATCAGTAGCTCTAAGAAGTAATAAAAGAGAAACAATTAAAATCTGGATCACAGTAAACACAGGGAGAAACAGTTGCATAACCTTCAGATCAGTCAATTTCTTCAGGACAAAAAGCCAACTCTATGTCTCTTTTGCTTTTCATAGAAAAGACACATTTATCACAATAGATTATTGTTGAAAAATATTTTCCAACATGTATCTGACAATTCCTAACACCTCTTTTCCTCATGCAGACTTAACATTTTGTTATGTGTATCTCAATTAGGACCTTCCAAGCTGCAACAATTTCCCTATAAACTTAAGGAAAAATACAGAAATCAAAGGGATACATTTCTATTGATCCTGGTGACAGATAAAAATAATCTTCCTACCATGCTGCTTGCATGTATCATGCTTTTCAAAATCTTACAGAAATGTTAAGCTTTTAACTTTCAGAAGATGACTTTTACTGGCTTATGAGCAGCTGGTCAAAAAAATGGATTTCCTATGGGTTGGGTGTTGAGTATAATCTGAATTTATTTATAAAGAATCTGAATGATAGGACTAAATGCTCACTTATCAAGTTTGCAGATGCCATAAGACTGGGAGAAGAACTTATGTTTGAAGAGACATAAGACTGTACACCAGAAGAAATAGTAACCACAAAGAGAGAGACCCTCATTGACAAGGAATAAGAGTTGCAGAAATATATCTTGCATGAGATACATAATCCCAAACAGCAGTGCAAGCTGATTGGGTAGGAGATCAGTTAGGGTGTAACTTTGCTGAGAAACACCTGGGAATTCACACTGAGTTAGTTGTACTTCCAGAGCAATGAAGGCAATCTAAACCCTATACTGCATTCGTAGCAGTACCATCAGCAGAGCAAGCACTTCCACTATCCTTAAGAATTGCTTACACAGTTAGAATGCTGGCTACAGTTTTGGTCCTCTCAGTTAACGACAAAAGCGCGTGTATCTTCCAACTGACCATGAACATGATTAGAGGTCTACAGGTTGTGACAGAAGGTTCAAAAAACTGAGTGTGTTCAGCCTAGCTAGATAAGGCTTAAGGTATGTCTAATCACAGCCTTCCAATTCCTAAAAGGCAGTTAGTGAAATGACGGTATTCTCTTACACAGAAAAAGAGGCAACAGGTGCAAGTAGCTCTAAAGGTAATTCTGAGGAAAAAAATCATTGGAGTAGATTGCCCAGATGTGGTGGAATACCTCTGAAAATCTAAAGAATTAGCTTGACAAGGAGTCTTAGCATTTAACAAAAAGTTGGACAAGATGCTCTTCAGAGGACCCTTCCAAACATGGGTTCTATGCAATTTTATGTTTCTAAGTAAAATATACAAAAACATATTGTATACTTTTCATAATTAGCTTAACCTTCCATTAGTGAGTAAAAAAGCCCTAAAACATTCCGGAAGTATTCAGTTTATTGGAAAAAGCAGTAACAAATAGTACCTTCATCAACCTAATAAAAATATTTCATTGCAACGTAGTTAGAAAGACTAAGACTAGAGTTCCAGCTAATTAAAGGCATGATGGCAAAGTATATGAAGCAATAAACAGCTGCTGAGGTTCATTAAATGCC